TGGTGCTTGAATAATGCAGTTGCATTCAGTGCCATAAATAATAGAATATCTTTTCTCCGTAATGCTTATTCTTGCATTGCAGTAGCATGAGACATTGTTACACCTTCCTTTCTAATTACTCTTGCTTTAATTTTGGACTGTATGGACATGGCAGCCCTTCAAGCGCTTGTTTGTTGCAGTAGGACATTATTTTAAACCTTTTAATAGGGATGCACGATCAGAATTGTCCAAGACTGGAATCAGAATTAGATTTTTACCCCAAACCTGCAATCAGCAGACAACCACAGTAGTGTTTTTATTTTGGCCAATCTGTGTTGCAGTTTTTATGTTGTAAATAAAATAATTGTAAATATGTATGTGTGCATGTGTATGTATGCATATATATATATACTCTGCAGTCTGCAACTGTATTAGCGGTGGAGCAAGGTGGGGAAAGTCCTGGCAAATTTTATAATTTTATGTCTTTCTTCCGCATGTGTGACATGCACAACCAGTCACACTGGTTCGCCTTGGTTCCACAGCAAATTTAGACCAAGTCCAGACATCCACAGCATTTAAAGAGCAAGCTGTATCTCCCAGGTTTGTGAACTAGGTTTGTGTTTGGGCAGAAGATTATTAACAAAATGTCACTGTGATAATAACAACCTTGTATCCCCAAAATGCTAATTTTATTGAAGAGGGAATACTGTTTCCTAGCTTTGATTAATGGAACAATAAAATAATTTTCATTTTTTATTGTGCTCGTTATTTCGCCATGAAATATTCACAAGATTGTCAGCTCACATATATGTTACTTGTCATTGTATCTGCCTTTGGGAAAATGTGAAGTCTGTCTTTTTTCAGTGTTTTCTATTTAAAAAAGCCAATGGTTTTACAAGGTGTCAAACATCCCACCCAACTTGAATAACAAGTCTTCGAACTTTTCCTTTGCAGCTGCCATCTCTGATTGCAGCAATTCTAACTCTCATGCTTTTATAGTGTGAAAGCTTTTCTCTGCCTCACCCAAGCAGACAATGAGGGTAGTGCACCTAAGCTTACAAAATCAGGAGTAAATGACAGGGTTAAACACATCGTACAACAATAATTTCCAGTGTTATTTATTTTATACGGTTCACAGTTGTCTTACAGGAAGGTACAGGAAACTATGTTATATTAGGGGGGAAAAAAGCCTGTAGGAGCAGCAAACCATTGTACTTTCCCATTTATAACAGTCTCAGGGAACAGTGATCCTGTTTCCACATTCAAGATTAAAAATCAAGATAAAAAAAAAAAACATGCTGACTTTCTGCTTGCTGGTTCTGTTTCTTCCTGTTGGGAAGCAGGAAGCTTTTTAGCAGCTTTTGGGTACTTCAATAGTCTTTTGTAATGACCGCAAGTGCATACATGTTTGTTTGAGTGTGCAGAACATTTCTTTGTCCTCATCTTCTGGTCCTCGGTATGGTACCATCTGGTCGGCTACTTTGGCATCAATCATTTGCGCCCGTGTAGGTCTGTGTGGTCATCAGTCAGCACCCTGCCAACAACTGTCCTTCGCTGGCTGGTAAATAAAGTGGGGACAGAGCACAGTGGAGCTATTTAAAGCTCTGGACCCCCTGCTGAGGACAGTGCACTCGATTCCTGCCTAGAGATGGCACTTGGCAGTATCGTTTGCCCTTTGTCTCACTGTGAAGCATTGTTCAGAATGACACAAAGGGTCATATCATCGCTGTTGTAACATCTACAAAGTGAGAACGTAATAGGAGAAGGTTTTAAATCAGTCTGGAAGCTAGTTCTCATCCTGAATGCTAGTTTTTTCAAATCGACCTGAAAGCACTTTTTTACTGCTCTTTGCCATTTTTAATCCAGCATTCACTCTCCAGTACTTTTCAGTACCAGCATTGGATCCATATCCCATTGAGTAGACAGCCAACAGTGAACCAGCACCAGTGCGGCAAGCTCTTGCCCTGAGGGAGACCTTTTTGTTTTTGGGCGGTTCTGTTTTTGATGTTCTGATGAGTCCAGGCTTGGGCAGTTAGCCATGGCTGTACACCCTGAACAAATAGCTACTTCCTGTTTTTCTTTACTGCTGCTTTGACACTGAGGTAGTTAGCTTAGTGTACAGCAAGCTGGTCCTCCTGCCATGGTGTAAACTAGCTCTTGTGCTGATGTCCTGACCTAAAAGATTAGTGTTGAAAAAAGGCATGTTTTATGGGGTCAGTATTGTAAGAAAGATTGCCACTGTTGTAGTGTCGACATAAACAGGTATTATCCACAGCTTGCATCAGTGAGGGACGTTTTTAGAAGTAAAGGTGCACTATGTAGGTTTTTCGGATATGGAGGCCTTTAATTGCGTGCAACGTTGGAAGTGCGCTTTGTAACGACGGTTGTGCATCATATTCCTTCCTTGAAGAATCTGATCCTTGCGAGCGCATTGAAAGAGCATTCAGAGAGATCTCAGTCAAAACTTGGTGAAGGATGTGCATTCTCTATTATTGTGATTTGCATTAGTACAATGTTGACTTTGCGTTTGAGGCCTAAACATCGAGCCAGACCTTCTTTTTGATTGAGTGCCTGTGATGTTAATAAGTAGGGACGTGCCATGGTCTGAAAAACTCTTGTGAAATCTGACTTGACGCCTCTGTCTTTATTAGTACTAATTCAGGTTTGACAGGGTGACTCGCAGCAGAGCTTAGTAGTGCTTCTTGTTTGTTTTATCAAAAAAAGTCTGACATGCACTGCAACTTTAACAAGCAGTTTAAAGGTATAGAGCGTGTAACTATTTTAAAGTGGATAGTGAAATCAGCCCGACTGCTGCTGCACCGTCTAAATGCCAGTGTTAAGTCGATGCAAAAATATAATTTTTTCTAAACTGTGATGTATTTCCAAGTGAAATATGGTATCAAAGGTCTTTTTGCTAGCTGAGGGTTTTTACTTGATGATAGGTGCGAAACATATTTGAAAATGAATTTTTTTCCAGTCTGCCCGTGTGCGGTGGTGTAACCAAAAATCAGAAGACATTTTAGAAGCAGGCAAAATTACATTTCGGTGAAAGATTACAGACAAAATGTTTGTCTTTTAAATGCGACCCGAAACATGAACTAAAGTGAAAAAGGTCAGTTCTGATTTATGGTTGACTTGACATTAACTGCTTTGTGTTAAAAGCATTAAGAATTACATTCAAAGCTGAGAAAAGAGATTACTTTGCTCATATTAGAGGAACCTGAAATCCAAAAGTAGCAAATTCAACACTGCATGAGATGGTGATTTAGAAAAAAGTGGTCTAAGAAAGCAACATATCTGAAGTCTCATTCAGTACATTCTAAAAATGAAGTATTTCTTTCTTTCTCTAGCTTTTTTTTAAAGTAATTAGCAGCTGTGTATGTCTTACCTGAATTAAATTAGTTTTATTAGAGTTACATTACTTGACATGTGCACTGTGTGGCTGCATTATCTATGAAAAAATAGAAATATTGGGCTTGGTGTTGGCAGATACTCACTATTTCAGAATTGGGATTAGGAAAGCAGAAAGTGATCAATTAGGACATTCCAACTGTTGTCATGTGCTTGCTCAGTTTCTAATGTTTGTGATCACTTTTATGAGAACAGTGTTTGGGTTGGAAATTTCAATGGAGGCCAGCTGTGAAGTGTTGTCAAATGGTGTTTGATGAGATGTGGTGATGTAGCTACTCTGACAAGAATGAGCATGAGCACAAGATCATAAATATACATTGCTCACTGTGCCAAGTAGTGCTTACATATTTTATTGTTCGCCAAAAGAAAGTTTAAAGGCTCTTCTGTAGAAAGAAGAGACAAAAGAAAGTCCTTAGCAAATGCCAACCTGTCTGTTGTTCACCCTGCCAACTTTGCCTACTGCCTCTGTGGTTGTACTTGGGGTAGCTCTGTGGAAGCTGTTGCGCATGAAAGCTCTCCCTCTTGAGTCAGTTACCAGGAAGCTTTGTTGGCTGTCCATGGAAATAGAAGTAAGGCCCTGAGTTGAATGATGGGAGCTGCTTTTACTTTTCAAACAACCAGCATGCCCCAAAGTTCACACTTGCAGTATGTGGCTTTGCTTAAGTACACACCAACGTGATGTATATCTGGAATTCCAAAAGCTTCTGTCAGAACCACAAGTTTTCAGGTAGATGTCTTAGACATCAGCATAAGGTGCCTTCCAGCACTGCTCAAATTATCTAAGCGCCACAGTGCATCACTCAGCATTTTACCGTTAGTGCTTTCAGTTAAACCCACACGGAGAGACCACTAGGCTTTAGCCAGTTGACAATAGTGTCATTAGTTGCTGATAGTTTCCATTTTTCTGTGATTGTCTTTAAGATGCACAGAAGTAATTAGTAATTGGAAACCAGTTTTCTTTTAATGTGTAATATTAGTCAATGTCAGACATGCACGCTGAGATGTGGTGTTGTGTTAGAACGTTCTGTAGCAGCATGAGGTAGAACTCTGCCTTTTGTTGTGCTTGTTAAACTGAAAAAGCCATTCAGCAGCCTTCCATGCATGGATTTGCTTCTCAGTCAGCAAGGAGCAACCTGCAATTTGTATTTAATCCTGTTGAAAGCCACCTGAAAACACCATTGGTTGCATATGTTGCAAGAACTATGTTTTGGTTTTGCTTTGTTTTTTCTCGCTAACGTATAAACACAGCATAAGGGGCATGATCAGACAGTGGTAAGCTGCACGGTGATGTGGCATGACATTTACTTGGAGAAAAGCCATCAATCCGAAATCTTTACCTAACATGGTAAATTCACCAGTCATGCTGAAAGCTTTATTCCAGTAAATCAACAGACCAAAATCAAAACAAATTTGAGCGTGTTGTTTATCAGCATTCTCACTGCACCACCTGTTACTGGGCCTGGTGTGCGGCAGCTTTAAGAATGTTTAAGAATTTTGGTAGCTGAATGATAAGAAGCTGAGTTAGTTTCGAGGTGAGCAATGGTGTTTCATCTCTCACAGTCCTTTTTAATTCTAATCTAATCTACTCCCTCTCTCTTTTGTTTCTCTAGTGCGTCTGCATCAATATGGGACATCCGGCATAGGCGTGTCTCTTGCATGATTGACGAGTAAGAGGCATGGGCCATATACAGGATCATCCTTGATAAGTGAACAACCTCCCAAACTAACATGCACCACAGCCAGTCTCGGCCATGAGACTAGACACCTCCTGAACTCTCTCCACACACCTACACACACACACACACGCACACACACGCACTCACGCCAACCATGGCTTCCGTGTACTTATGGAAGCTGTCATCACAGAAGCTGGGCTTCTTCCTGGTGAGTTTCGGCTTCATATGGGGCATGATGCTGCTGCACTTTACCATCCAGCAAAGGACGAGGCACGAGAGCAGTGCGCAGCTACGCATGCAGATCCTGGACCTGAGCAAACGCTACATCAAAGCACTGGCTGAGGAGAACCAGGGGGTGATGGATGGACCTTACGTGGGCACCATGACTGCGTATGGTAAGACCCTGACTTATGTTATTTCAAGTGTCATGCTTGCCTAGCAGTTAAACAACTGTTGGAATGTAGGCCAATCAAGTGTGTAAGCTACTGTTCAGTTGTATGAAATGTTCTACAAACAAAGTTGATATTATTAAATTATTGGAGTATCACATAAGAGGAGCATTTCTTAATAGGATTAGGCAATATTATTAAAGTATACCATGATACTCTATACTGCTCATCAGGTGTTTCAGTCACACCCATTGTTAACAGGGGTATAAAATCAAGCACATAGCCTTGCAATCTACATAGCAATCCACCTTTGCCACAAGACAGCTTGTGAAATTTCTTCCCATTATTCCCTAAGTGCTATTATTCTAAAATGGAAGCATCTAAGAGCAACAACATCTCGGCAGTTAAGCAGTAGACCACACAAACCCACAGAGCGGGGCCTCCAAGTGCTGAAGCACATTGCATATAAAATTCAACTTATCCTTTGTTGCCTCATGAGCTTCATGAAGGGAAATGACCAAGTTTATGAAGGTGTGATGGTCAGGTGTCCACATACTTTAGGCCATATAATGTAGATCCCTATGAAACATCTTGCCAAACCATATTATTGCTCACATTATTTGTCTGCTTAAAAAAAATCCATATTTTAGAATTTGGCTATGAAGCATTGCTGATTATTTTCCAGCAGCTCCCACTGATAGTCAAATGTGTTGAACTTTAATATATTTGAAACAGAACCATTTTTTTTGTTGTGAATCAAGTGATTGCATTTGTCCAGCTTCCAGCTTTCATTTTTGTACTTGGTGCTTTTCGCAAACTTGCTCATAAGAGTTGCCTGTATTTAAGTCTGGCCCGTGGACAGCTTCTTTCACACTGTTAAACAAGCATGTGCAGTTGCCAGAAGAATTCGCCATCTGAAGCTGACCATTCATTTACCTCAGATGAGAACATATTGCTGCCTATTACAGTTCTTCAGCTTATGAAGCCAAAGTAGATCAGCCAAAATAGTTGTTTTCTGTATTTATGGAGACAAATGGTATATTCTTAAGCCTATTTAGTAGCTTGTGGTGTGTGAAGATGTTAGTAACTTTTTCTTACTTGGAACATACCAGGGAGCTTTTAATATTGAAGTGGACATTTTATTGCATTTCAATGTGTATTTGTTTTTCCAGAGCATTCTCTAGTGTTCACCTTTCACATGTTCACAGCCCTAGAGCCAAGTTATCTATGCTATCTGTTTTACCCATCAATGCAAACATATTGTCAGGACTGGTGACATTGCAACGGTATCATGAGCTATTAATGTTTGTATAGTGCTTTGGCACTGGTTCAACATGCAGGCTAGAAGTTGTGGTTTCAGTTAGCAATTCACATCATATGTAAGAAAGACCACACTCCAGTGGTTGCTTCCATAACCTACCCCAAAAAACAAAACATAGTTTAGTTAACATAGTTAATGCATTATAACTGTACAGTTACATTACAACATTGTCATGTGGTTCATGTTTTTAGCTAACTAACAATCCAGAAAGGCAAGTTGGCATATTAAAATACCTAACAGTCTTCAATTAAAACATGGTTTTGTTTGCACACATTAAAAGTGATGAGTTACAGCACATCTCACGTGCATGTCTTTTAATAGTACTTCCAGCATTATCTCAAAAGTTGAAGGGGTCCACATGTATAATGCAGAGTGATAAGTTCATGGCCACAAACTTTCAGTTCTTCAACAGTGTATATTTGTCAGCTAATAGCTTTTTGTTGGGATGGATTAGCCAATTTTAAAACTTTGTATGTGTGGTGAAAACCTCCTGGCATTCTTCTGAAGTCAAGGGTGTTATTAGGGAATTAGTCCCCCCTTTGCGGCAGTAACAGCTTCTACTCCTCTGACACATCTTTATACTAGATGTAGGAACATTGCTGTGAGGATTTAAGTGCATTCAACCGCAAGAACATTAGTGAGATCAGGTACTAATCTTGGATGACAAGTTCTGAATCATAAACACCACTCCAACGCATCCCAAAGGTATTGGGTAGAGCTCTATTACTCTAGAGAATGCAGTTTCACTGCTGCGTAGCCCATGCTGGTAGCTTTATACCCCTCTAGTCAACAAGCATGGTGACCTTAGGTCAGGGGTTCCCAGTCCCGATTCCCTACTCAACATACCTGACCCAGACCACACTGAGTTTATTAATTAGTTAATGAATCAGGTGTTCTAGAATAGACAAAGCACAGAAATCACCAGGCCTGAGACTGGGAACTCCTGCCTCAGACTCATGTGTGGCTGATCCAAAGTGTTCCATTCTATTTGTCAGTATTTGTCAGTACTTACCTACAGAGATTATACAAACTGTGTTTGTGCAATTAAATGCCTGTGTCCATAATGAGTGTGCCTTAAAGCTTAAATTCGCTAATTAGAAGATGTTTGCAAACTTCTAGACTTAGTGTAGCTGTAAATTAAAGCTGGCATTACGTGCTTTAGAGATTTATTTTTCCTCCAAGTCA